GGACGTGAGGAGAGGGGAGGATGAGAGGAGAGGAGAAGAAGGACAGAAGGAGAGAGAGAGAGAAGGAGAAAGAGGAGGGGAGGTAAAGAGAGGAGGATGGAGAGAGAAAGGAGAGAGGGGAGGAGAAGGAGAGAGGAGCATGGGGACAGAGAGAGAACGAAGGGAGAGGGAGAGAGAGGAGAAAAAGGAAAAGAGCGGAGGACTTTGAAAAGAAGGAGGAGAGAGAGGAGAAGAGGAAGGGAGAGGGGGATGGGAAAGAAGAGAAGAGAGAATCGGGAGAGAGGGGGATGACTTTGAGGAGAAAGAAGAAAGAGGGAGTGTTGGGGCAGAAGAGAGAGAGAGAGAGAGAAGAAGGAGGAGGAGGAGAATGGAGGGAGAGAGGAAGGAGAGAGAAAGAGGAGGGAGGGAGAGAAGAGGAGAAGAGGGGGCAGAGAAAAGAGAAAAAGGGGAGGGGAAGAAGGAGAGAGAAGAGAGAAAGAGGAAAGAGGGGAGGAATATGAGAAGAAGGAGGAGAGGGAGAGAAAGGGGAGAGAAAGAGAGAAAGGAAAGGGGGTACAGAGAGAGAGAGAGAGAGAGAGAGAGAGAGAGAGAGAGAGGAGGAAAGGAGGAAGTCACGCAAGCAGAACATGACCGAAGAGAAAAGGAAGATGATTCACTTCTGATGAACGACTGAAGCGGAAAACGAGAGGAGGCAGAGAGATAAGAGAGAGAGAGAGAGAGAGAGAGGAAAAGAGAGGGACACGCACACAGAGAAGAAGAGAGAGAGATACAAAGGGAGGCAGGGAGAGAGATAAAAGAGACGGAGAGAGACAGAGAGAAATAAATAGAGGAAGAAAGAGGAGAGAGTGAGAAGAACAGAGAGAGAGACAGAGACACGGAGAGAGAGAAAAGCACACAGAGAGTGGGAGAGAGAGAGAGAGAGAGAAACAAAGGGGGGAAGAGAGAGAGATAAAAGGAGAGATGGAAAGAGAGGGAGCGAGATGCAAAGAGAGAGACAGAAGGAGATGGAGAGATAAAAAGAGAGAGAGAGAGACAGAGGGGAAGAGAGGGGGCAGAGAGAGAAATAAGAGAAGAGAGAGAGATGCAAAGAGAGATAAGAGATAGAGGTAAGAGGAGAGATGGAGAAGGACAGAGAGAGAGAGAGGCAGAGAGAGGGAGAGAAAGAAACACACAGAGGGAAAGAGAAAGATACAGAGAGGGATAAAAAGAAGGGAGACGGAGAGAGAGCGAGAGATGCAGAGAGAGACAGGAGAGATGCAGAGAGAGACAGAGAGATGCAGAGAGAGAGAGATGCAGAGAGAGAGAGAGATGAAGAGAGAGACAGAGAGAAAGATGCAGAGAGAGACAGGAGATGCAGAGAGAGACAGAGAGAGAGGTGCAGAGAGAGAGAGATGCAGAGAGAGAGAGACAGAAGGAGAGACAGAGAGAGAGAGATGCAGAGAGAGAGAGAGAGAGACAGAGAGAGAGAGAGAGAGGTGCAGAAAGAGAGAGAGAGAGGTGCAGAGAGAGGGAGAGACAGAAGGAGAGAGACAGAAGAGATGCAGAGAGAGATGCAGAGAGAGAGAGGTGCAGAGAGAGAGACAGAAGGAGAGACAGAAGAGATGAGAGCAGAGAGAGAGAGAGAGAGATGCAGAGAGAGAGAGACAGAGAGGTGCAGAGAGAGAGAGAGACAGAGAGGTGCAGAGAGAGAGACAGAGAGAGAGATGCAGAGAGAGAGAGACAGAGAGAGAGGTGCAGAGAGAGAGAGAGAGAGAGAGAGAGAGGTGCAGAGAAGAGAGAGACAGAGAGAGAGATGCAGAGAGAGAGCGAGACAGAGAGGAGAGATGGAGAGAGAGAGAGAGAGAGACAGAAGGAGAGAGACAGAGAGAGAGAGAGAGAGAGAGAGAGAGAGAGAGAGAGAGAGAGAGAGATGCAGAGAGAGAGATGCAGAGAGAGAGAGACAGAGAGAGAGAGAGAGAGAGAGAGAGAGAGAGAGAGAGAGAGAGAGAGAGCGAGAAGATGCAGAGAGAGAGCGAGAGAGAGCAGAGAGAGAAGAGACGAGAGAGATGCAGAGAGAGAGAGAGAGAGACAGAAGGAGAAGACAGAGAGAGAGAGAGAGAGAGACAGAGAGAGAGAGAGAGAGAGAGGTGCAGAGAGAGAGAGACAGAGAGAGGTGCAGAGAGAGAGAGACGAGAGAGAGAGAGTGAGAGAGAGAGAGACAGAGAGAGAGATGCAGAGAGAGAGCGAGAGAGATGCAGAGAGAGAGAGAGACAGAAGGAGAAGACACAGAGAGAGAGAGAGAGAGAGAGACAGAGAGAGAGAGAGAGAGAGAGAGAGATGCAGAGAGAGACAGAGATGCAGAGAGAGAGAGAGAGGTGCAGAAAGAGAGAGAGAGAGAGAGAGAGAAGAGAGACAGAGAGAGAGCAGAGAGATGCAGAGAGAGAGAGAGAGAGAGAGAGAGAGATGCAGAGAGAGAGAGAGATGCAGAGAGAGAGAGAGATGCAGAGAGACAGAGAGGTGCAGAGAGAGAGAGACAGAAGGGGAGACGGAGAGAGAGAGAGAGGTGCAGAGAGAGAGACAGAGGAGAGTGAGTCTTTTTCTGTGTAAAAGCTGTTAACCCTGTAGTTTATGTTCTTTGCTTGGGGTTTTATCCGTCATCTTCTTCTCTCTTCTCCGAAATGTTGAAGTTAAAATCGTGCACTATGACTTACTTTTCAAACGTTGTGTAATCGTATGTCTGTTTGACAAGAGTCCGTTTTGCCAACTTAAGCAAAAAGTAAAAGATACATTTTTTTTTTCCTGATGTGCAAATTGTGAAAATGTCCAGACAATGTTTCAAAATATCAAACTATACAACAGTCGTATCAAATGGACCCGTGTCAATCCTTGTGTCGTTCGTTCGTTCGTTTTTCAATATAAAACCAAAAATAAGAAAAAAAAAAAAAAAAAAAAAACGATTTTCTTCATTATTTGTCTCCAAAACCAAAATTTAAAAACGGATAACGATTCATTTTTTTCAGTTTTTGATTTTGCGTTTAAATGAAAAATAAAAAAACCCTGATAATTCCCGTTTACATGACTTAAACTGCGATACTCCGACTTGAGACTCGCTAAACAACGACTTGGTCCCACCTCTGGTTCCTGGTCTCTGATTTTCCTCAAATAAATTTCCCCCCAAAAGTGCGACTTATATACAGACTAGGGATGGGCATGATTAGTCGATTAATCGATAATTGATCATTAAGAATGTCATCGATTACGTTCATTTTAATCGACAAACTGAATGTATGTTGCTGTGTGTGTCGTGACCAAACAGGTGTGTACATGTGTCTCTGCATCAGAAGGAGCGAGACACAAACAGTGGGTCAGTCTGTAACGAACCGAAGCACAAATGTGGATTTAACGATGATTTGTACAAGAAATTCCACACTTTCCGTTGCGTTGGGACAAGTGTGAGTCCATGTGCACAGTGGATAAAGCAGCACATATGTTTCTGTGTCCAGTGGGAAAAAGTTTTTCCAGGTGAGAGTCGCTCAATGTGGATGACGAGGCCCCGCCCCCCTCCCCCCGTACGCTGTCCTGGTTTTGACAAACACAAATCTGGTCACACTGACCTGTATTCACCTGAGTCATGTCTTTTAATCCAACACAAGTTGAACCACATCAGCGACACAAGAGCTGGAGTTTTATCTTCACTTAGTTTATGTAAATTAGTGATGTGGTTTTAAGTTTTGTTTCTGTGAGATTTGAACAAAACTGAATTAAACACATTATAATGTCAAACAGCTGATGTGGCTCTAGAGTCGTTATGTTTATATGTCGTAAAGTTGAATTTATTTATGCAGATTAGTGCAGATAGTAATAATAATGATGATCATTTTAATATCAAAACGTTAATGATTAATCGATAATCGATCGTTAATTCTTCCGACGATCGATTAAGAAAATTTCATCGAATGCTCATCCCTAGTTCCTATTGTTCAGTCACATACAATCTTTTCTAGGGGTACCACTATTTTTGTCCAGGCCAGTTTCATTAGTTTGTTTTTTTAAATAATTCTCTTGAACAACAATTCAAAAACAGTAAAATAGAAAAATGATGGCAGAGGCTCTGATTTGCGGTGAATTTATTAAAAGTCACGTCAACGCGTTTCGACTACTTGGTCTTCATCAGGGTTAATTGAATCAACAGCAGGTGTGACCATTTATAAAGGGTTGCGAACCCAGAACACGTGATACTTAAAAAAAATATATATATATTTTAAAAAAAATTCAAAACATTTGCATGTTGAATCCAAGTTAAAAAAAAAACTAAAGTAATGGAAAAGTTTTTCCATTACTTTAGTTTTTTTTTCGAAGTTTTTAAGGGATTATGTATCGTTGACTATACTCCAGTCGTTACAGAACAGTGTGATTTATCTGTTGTGTTATGAATGGTATGTTGTCAATATACTTGGATTCAACATGCAAATGTTTTGAAATTTTTTTTTAAAATATATATATTTTTTTTTAAGTATCACGTGTTCTGGGTTCGCAACCCTTTATAAATGGTCACACCTGCTGTTGATTCAATTAGCCCTGATGAAGACCAAGTAGTCGAAACGTGACTTTTAATAAATTCACCGCAAATCAGAGCCTCTGCCATCATTTTTCTATTTTACGTGAATCTAGCCCTCTAGTTTGATGAGCACCTGTTATGTGTAAGTTTCTTTGATCCAGTGTAGAACTCCAATTTTGTTATTTTTAATTCAAAAACAGTGTCTGATTTTCATTGGTTATTTTTCGGGAAATTTTTATTTATTATTGTTTTTCTCTGTTTCAAGTTATTTCAGTGAAAATTGTTGATTTTTCTTTCGTTACCAGAGGGGTACCAACAATTTTGTCCACGTCTGTATGTTTTGCTTCTGCATTACACATTTTTGGCCGGTGCAACTTATAGTCACAGAGGAAAAATACAGCAAGTCAAACCATAACTACTGTTTAATTTAGTTGTGGCTCTCGTTCACGTTACGGTCGCTCACCATGAGTTTACTGAAGAAGTCGAAGCGCACGCAGGACTGCCTCGTGTGGCGGGTGAAGCGGCTGACTTTGAGAGGACTCTTCCGGGTCAACAGCACAAAACTCCCGGCCAGAAAGCAGAGCAGCGCGAAGGAAATGTAGAAGAAGAGTTTGAGGAAGAAGGAGGTGAGAGTGAGGCCTCCCCACAGCAGCTGCACCGCTACAGCCACACACCCCCCCAGAGCGAAGGCAGGGACCAGAAGGACCGGAAAGCCCAGGGACGAGGGGCCGGGGCTGAGAGGCATGGGGCACTGCTGCTGCTGCTGCTGCGCTGCTGCTGCTGCTCTCCTGCGGGCGGCACTGTGGGCACTGTGGGCACAGGGGGCACGTGTGAGGACGACTTTATTTACTTCAGTCATTTCAGTGTGGACAGTGAAAATGTATTTGTAATAGAAGAGATTAAGTGACAAAATGAATTAAAACTGTGAGAAACGTCTTCAGCTCAAGTCCAGATGACACTTTTATTACCTCCGCCAAGGAGGTTATGTTTTTCCCGGCGTTTGTCTGTTTGTTTGTTTGTCTGTTTGTTTGTTTGTTTGTTAGCAACATAACTCAAAAAGTTATGGACCGATTTTGATGAAATTTTCAGGATTTGTTGGAAATGTGAAAAGGAAGAACTGATTTCATTTTGGGGCTGATCCGGAAGAAATCCTGGATTCTGGATCACTTTGAATTTTTAGTTAACATTGTGGTAAATGGGGCCAAAAATTTGGTTTCTCAATATCTCGGATAATTATTGACCAAACCCCATGAAGTTTGACTCAGGGATGGACAATGGGATCCTCTTTCATATTCCAAATTGAAAGATACGAGACAAATATTTATGGAAAACACAATTAATATGAGGGGGACTGTAGTCCTTGGCGGAGTCTGCGCTCTCTGACTGCTTTTCTAGTTTGCATCTTAGTTTGTCTACAGGCCAAGGACCTGGTTTAGACCTGGTTTAGACCTGGTTTATTTCTAGTTCAGTTCTGGTTTAGTCCAGGTTTATTTCTAGTTTAGTCCAGGTTTAGTCCAGGTTTAGTCCAGGTTTAGTCCAGGTTTAGTCCAGGTTTAGTCCAGGTTCAGGTTCAGTTCTGGTTCAGTTCTGGTTCAGTTCTGGTTCAGTCCAGGTTCAGTCCAGGTTTAGTCCAGGTTTATTTCTAGTTCAGTTCTGGTTTAGTCCAGGTTTAGTCCAGGTTTATTTCTAGTTCAGTTCTGGTTTAGTCCAGGTTTAGTCCCGGTTTAGTCCTGGTTTAGTCCCGGTTTAGTCCAGGTTTATTTCTAGCTCAGTTCTGGTTTAGTCCCGGTTTAGTCCCGGTTTATTTCTTGTTCAGTTCTGGTTTAGTCCAGGTTTAGTCCAGGTTTAGTCCAGGTTTAGTCCAGGTTTAGTCCAGGTTTAGTCCAGGTTTATTTCTAGTTCAGTCCTGGTTTAGTTCTGGATTAGTTTTGGATTAGTTCTGAATTAGTTCTGGATTAGTTCTGGATTAGTCCAGCTTTAGTCCAGTTTTAGTCCAGTTTTAGACCTGGTTTAGGTCTGGTTTAGGTCTGGTTTAGGTCTGGTTTAGGTCTAGTTTAGACCTGGTTCAATCCTGGTACAGTCCTGTTTAGACACGGTTCAGTCCTAGTTTAGACCTGGTTTAGTTGTGGTTTAGACCTGGTACAGTCCTGGTACAGTCCTGGTTTAGACCTGGTTTAGACCTGGTTTAGACACGGTTCAGTCCTAGTTTGGACCTGGTTTAGACCCAAATCCCTCCCTCCGTCCGTCCAGATGTTTTCCGTCTTCCTCACCTCTGGCTGCGGTGGTGGCTGGGGGCGCGTGCATGCTGCGACCCCACCATCCATAAATGTCCTCGTGCTCTGTGGACTTCCGAGCGCGTGAGCAGCAGCGTCAAAGAGGTAGAAGGAGCATCCGCGTGTTCCCGGGACTAGCACGCCGTCCCCACACAGAGGCATGCCCGCACTGACATCGCACCGAGCCCAGCGCCGTCAGTCCACCCCCCCGCCGCTCCTCGCCTCCTGCTGCGGGCCCCCGGGGGCAGCTGTCATCCACGACACAGAAAAAAAAAACGTCAGGATCATAAAAAAAAAAATAATAATAATAATAATAATAAATGAATAAAAATAAATAAAGCCCGAAATGTGTCGGTGACGTGAAGAAAGCTCCGCGTGAAGTGATGGACAAGGCGACTCCAGTCATCACCTTGGAGATTGTCCCTACCCGATTTGTAGCACGTCCCACTTCTGTCACATTTCTAAACAAATCGAAACCGTGTCAAGTTTCTCCGCTATTTATGGCGACTTTTCTTCTAAAGGGGCGAATCTCTACAGCAGCGTGACAGCTACAACGCACAGAACTATAACAAAATCCACGCTAAAATGCTACACTACATCCCCGTTGTGCTAAAACCGCACAGGAAGCCGCACTTAAGCAAGAGTTCTGATTTTTTTTTTTATCTGCACAAAGATGACTGTGCAGACAAGACTTTATTTAGCCCACACAGTTTTATTTACACCACAAAATATTGCGAAATTGGAGCATAACAATCAATTATTTCGAGGTATTTTTCCGTGAACAGCGGACTACGCATGCGCAGAGCACTTTTACGGATCGGGCAGTGACCTGTAGCTTAGCGACTGTTGCTAACCAACTAGTCGAACAGGAAGCTAACGAAGAACACCAAAACACACAATCACTGGATATTTAAATCAAACACAAAACTGAGAGATGATTAGTTAAACATGTGCGTAGGCTTAAAAGCACAGCGGTTTATTTCGGTGCATGGTTATTAGCTGCCTCAAAGCAAACTGCTAGCTTTAATGCTGTTAAGTAAGCGAAGCAGCTAACCGCACTGCTCACCTGTGTCTACAAATGTCGACGCTCGTAAAACTACATCCTCTGTTTGTGTTTCCGGCCCGTGGGGTCGCACCGAGCCGCGGCACTTCTGCACCGATCCGCGTGATGAGACAAATGACCGGTACAAAATTATCCTGGAGGCACAAAAACAACCAGGCTCCAGCTGACCGCCGTGTGTGAGTGTATCAGTGTGAGTGTGTGTGTGTGTGTGTGTGTGTGTAAGTGTGTGTGTGTGTGTGTGTGTGTGTGTGTGTGTGTGTGTGTGTGTGTGTGTGTGTGTGTGTGTGTGTGTGTGTGTGTGTGTGTGTGTGTGTGTGTAAGGGGCCAATCAGAGACAGAGCAGCCGCCGACGGAGCGCTTCACGCGGCAGAGGGGCGGTCCGGAGAGGCGGGGACGCGGAGGATGTTTCTCACTAAAGTCTTGGCATTTCGTCCGGAGGCCGTGCGTAGCGTAACCTGTCAATCAAAGCCGTGGATGGAAACAAACAAACAAAAAAAACTGTTATTTTATTTTTATTGTTTTATTTTTATTTTATTCTATTCTAGTTAGGTTTAGTTTATTTGATTTTAATGTATTCTTTATTTTATTTATTTCCGCTCCTGACTGTAAAACGCCAAAAAAGAAACTAAATAGATCAGATCGTGGGCAGAAGGCGCCGGGGGCAGTGTGCAGTCCACTCCAACTCTCGACCAACAGTTTTGAATGTTTATCAGAAAATAACTCCTCATTATTCTGTTTGAGTGTCATTTTACAGAAACAGTCATGTTAAACGAACACTAATTATTTGTATTAGTGGATATGTTTGCAATTGTTGATTTTTGACAATATTTTGTTTAGACTTTATTGATTCGTAGATCACAATTAATTATAATAACAAAGAGCAAAAGTATAAATGGTAATAGTAAATAAGTACATAAATGGTTTGGTTTTCACGATCAAGATAAATTTTGGGTTTTTGGTTAGATCTGCTAACTGGGTAAAACTGACCGTTTTTTTTGTTTGTTTGTTTGTTTGTTTGGTTGGTTTTTCTCTCTTACTAAACCAGGACTAAACCAGGACTAAACCAGGACTAAACTTTATTTTTTTTTGTGGGCCTATTGTTATTGTTCAGCAGTGCGAAGCAAACAGAGCTCGATGCACTCTCCCCTCTCCAAACGCCCGCTGACATGGCACGCTGGCATCACCTGTGGGCCACGACAGCGGCCTAATGTTCATTGTTCACCCCAAAACGTGCACGATGTCAAGTGCGCCCGTGAAAACAGAGCACGAATCGCTCTCCCCTTATCAAACACTCAATGCCAATACTGTAACACTCAACAGTGACACTCATGGCATCCAGTAGTACAGACTGACATTGACAAAACTGCTTGCACATTTAGAGAGTTTAAGACTTTAAGGAGTCTTTATTACACTGTTTCTGATCTATGTGTTATAATATTGTTTCATTGTTTTCCTATTGTTTTGTTTCATTCATGTTTAACACACAGATGCTGTATATTTGTATATTTTCTTCTCTCAAACAGAAAACACTCTGTTCCACTTTGTGATGTCATGTGGTGATACAAGAAGTGCTCCACTGTGTTTTTAAACTTTCACTAGAATCATTTTGATCATTTCAGCCTGGGAATTGCTGATCTCTACTGAAGGAAAGGTAAAAAGAGCTAATAAAGAGTTACTCAGACCTGTGTGAATGATGTAAAACACAACTCCAGGTCTGTTTCTGAGGAGGTAACAACATTCTAACATGGCTTAAAGCTCACAAGAGTCAATTTTGCTTAAAATAGTAACTTTAAAGGAGTGATTCTTATGTCCCCATGAGAGAAAAATGCATTTTGAGATTTGGAAGTTGCAATGTCCCACATAACTCTGACTTAGCTACAACTACAATGGGTGAGATGAATTTGTACTGTAAAAAAACCAATAAAAAACATAACAGTCACAAGTCGTCTTTATATTATTGTATTTCAAGTCCAAAAGAAGGTGATCAGAACATTTAACCAAGTGAATTACAGTGCACCAACAAATCCAACTCAGTGTTTTGATGTTGTTGAGCCGAGTGGAGCTGGAGTCATGTACAGGACATTTCATCATGAGCTTCTTCCTCATGTACTGGACTTATTTGAGCAGAGTCAGTATGACCTTACAACAGCACAGCGAAGAAACCAACGAGCTCAAATTTGATCGACATTATCTCAAGAGGTGGAACATCAAAACTTATCCACATTTTTCACACTCGTCTTACGATCTCTGAGCAGTGAAGCAACAAAAATGCTCACAATTTTGGAGATTTACAGAGTTGCTCCCATTTGCTCAAACGAACTTCGATTTCAATCAAATTTGAAACAGTTGTTAAACTCTCTGCCCTGAAGCTACTTACAGTGAAAAATATAAATTTTGAGCATTAGCGCCCCCTATAGATTGAAACAGAATTTAATATGGGAGAAAATCATTTGCTCTCAAATAGTTGTTCAAAAATGTTTGAAATTTTGCACAAAATTTCATTTTGGCATCCTGATCCAAAAGTCAGTGACACCCATGTCATATTTTTTACAGGGTTGCCATAGCGATGACATAAACTCTCCATGTTATTCCATTGGTAAAATTGACAAATTTTGGCACAAATTTTGGCCGATTTCAAATTTTAATCGTGGGTTCACACCCCGACCCTGAACAGACTGAAGTGTGTGCAATAGCGCCCCCTAGATAATGTGTGTGGGAAAATAAGGTTTTATTTGTCACAGATACACAAAATTTGAAATCCACATTTGTGACATCAGCTCGATTAAAAAACTCAATGATCCCAAACCTCATTTATATTGTGTTGCCATGGCAACAAGTCAAAATTCTGTCCTTCCCAATGGGACGTCTTTACACAAACGTTGGCGTAGCCAAATCAAATTTGGTATCCAGATGCATCATGGCAATAAGAACAAAAATGTATATTGTGACCACGCCCCTTTACAAACCGGAAGTCCGCCATCTTGTATTTTTTTCAACACATACAAAGATGTTGAATATGGACAGGTGGACAGGATTACAACCAGGGTTAGGGTTAAGCTTAGGTGCATGTGAGGGCTGATCATTGCCGCTTGCAGCTATATTTCTATTTACTATTATATTTCTATTATTATATTTATTTTTTTTTAAGTTATTTTATTTTATATTTTATTTTATTCTAGTTTAGTTTATTCTATTCTATTTTATTTTTATTTTAGTTTATCTTAGTTTTATCTGTTCTAGTTTAGTTTATTTTTTACCAGTTTAGTTTAATTTATTCTTTACTAGTTTATTTTAGTTTATTCTATTCTAGTTTAGTTTAGTTTAGTTTAGTTTAGTTTAGTTTAGTTATCTGCGCTGAAAGACAAAGAGGAAGAGCAGCGTGTCGGGCTTCTGTTGTTCCAGCCGTGTCGAATGAATGAAAATGAGTTTATGCTCAGTGCATTTCCGCTCCTGACTGTAAAACGCCAAAAAAAAGAAACTAAATAGATCAGATCGTGGGCAGAAGGCGCCGGGGGCAGTGTGCAGTCCACTCCAACTCTCCACCAACAGCTTTGAATGTTTATCAGAAAATAACTCCTCATTATTCTGTTTGAGTGTCATTTTACAGATACAGTCATGTTAAACAAACACTAATTATTTGTATTAGTGGATATGTTTGCAATTGTTGATTTTTGACAATATTTTGTTTAGATTTTATTGATTCGTAGATCACAATAAATATAATAACAAAGAGCAAAAGTATAAATGGTAATAGTAAATAAGTACATAAATGGTTTGGTTTTCACAATCAAGATAAATTTAAGGTTTTTGGGTAGATCTGCTAACTTTTTTTTTGTTTTGTTTTTTTGTTTTGTTTGTTTTGTTTTTTCTCTCTTACAAACTGTATTTAATCATAAAAATACTGTCAATATCACTGAATGTTTATATTTGCTGTAATTACATCTGCAGATTATGAAATTATCTTTGTTAGCATTGATTGACGCTGAACATTTAAGCCCCGCCCCCGGACGAAATGCCGAGGTTTTAGAGAGTCCCGCGCTCCCGGGGTAAACACCGCCCAGCAGGACGGGAGCCGTGAGAGAAACGAGCGCACAGAGATGAAGGCTCGTGGTGCGTTTGTGTCTTAACACCTTTTTCCTTTAAACCAGAAATCTGCTTACGCTTATTACTGTTATGAGCGTGAGTCACCGTCGTGTCAGCTGCACTAACGCTGAAAACAAACGAAAAGTTCAACTGCAAAAACAGATCTTTGTTTGGAAATGTTGCCACCTCCGACATGTACTATTAATGATTATAACATCTAGTGGATTTTATCAAGACGGACGGAATCATACTTTGATTAGTGTCGGGGAGTAACAGATTACATGTACGGGAGTAATCAGAGTACAAATGATGAGTAACTGTATTCAGTTACAGTTACTGTTTCAGTGAGTGGTAATTGGATTACAGTTACTTTGTTGAAATAAATGGATTACACAAAAGTATTTTACTGTTTTCACATTTTGGGCTAAATCCCTTCTTTTTTTCTTTTCTTTTTTTGTTTTAAACAAGTCTAAACCAGGACTAATTCAGGATTGAACCAGGACTGAACCCAGGTCTATTCTAGATCTAAACCAGGACTAAAACTAGATCTAAACCAGGACTAAAAACCAGGTCTAAACCAGGACTAAACTAGGTCTAAACCAGGACTAAAACCAGGTCTAAACCTAGGACTAAAACCAGGTCTAAAACCAAGACTAAAACCAGGTCTAAACTAGATCTAAACCAGGTCTAAGCCAGGACTAAAACCAGGACTAAAGCCAGGTCTAAAACTAGATCTAAACCAGGACTAAAACCAGGACTAAACTAGTAAGTATTTTCCTGTTTTCACATTTTGGGCTATATCCCCCCCCCCTTTTCTTTCTTTTTTTTTTTTTTTCGGTAATTCCACTCATTGTCAGAAACTAAACCAGGACTAAAACCAGGTCTAAACCAGGACTAAACCAGACAATCCTTATTTGAGTAAGTTTATTGGATACAATTTTTGAGTAAATATACATTTTATTGCCCTTACAAATCAAATAAAGACAGATTACAGATTACAGATTACAGATTACATACACTGGAAAAAAATATCTAGCCAAGTTAAAATGAGTTTTTCTTAATTCAAGCAACATTCAATTTTGTTTCTTATTTTAAGCACAAAAGTTGTTTTTTTTTTTTTCTTATTTTAAGAGAAG